ACGTGCAGCTGTCTTCACTAGTTTCATTGCTGAAAAACATCTTTCAACACTTGCGGTGGCAATTGGCAAAGTTAAAACTAACTTTAAAAGTCTGTAAACCAAGGATGTGCTAGATGCTTTTGAGTTTTCACCATCAAACATGAAAAATCTCCAAGATTATCTACACTCGTAAGTACTATAACTGATCTCTTGTTTAAAAGAATAAGTCACTCTTTAGGTAATTTGAATGATATCAAAACTCATCGTAAAAAGAGAATCAATATATTCTCAATAGATATTCACAATTTAGCTAACTTTGACCATTAAATACTATTTAGTTTTACGATTATTATCTTTTGTAATGGTTATATACTTTCTAACCTAATATTTTTTTTCTTATATTCTTGTTTACAATATTATGGATTAATGCATCTGGTTAATGGTTTAGGGGAATTTAGAATATATTTTTGGTCCAAAATCATGATCCAAAGCTATTATTTTCGTATTTTTCAATTTTAGTAAAAACATTTTACTATTTTGTATTAATATCACATTCTAATTTGATATAGCATCATTGATTTTTATTTCTGTTTAAAATTTTAGTCATTTGGAGGATTTTTTTTTCTTACTTCTAGTTGAATTGAATTTTTTTATTGTTTTTGTTAAACTTCATATATTATTTTAACTTTTAAGCTTTCTTTATTTTTCTTATGGTTTTCTCATATTTTCTTATTCTTCTTGTGAGGTCTCCACCTTGGACAACACTTGGTTCAAAAAGACATTTAGTTACAAAATACAATTAATTAAGCAGATAATTAATGTTGCAGAATAGAAAACATTTTCTTAGTTCATGATGCATGCTGCTCAAGAGGAGTTCTTAAGAAAAATGGGTTGTTTTGTTTCACAGATTGGAGGAACATTAGATTTCTGGTGGCGTGAGACAGTGAATATTGTCCCGGTGACCCGCCAGACACAAAATTGTTAATATGTTAATGTGAACGTCCATTATAGAACAGTCGATGGTTAGAGGGGTTCGAGTCATGGTTTCGTTGCGAAGAGATGCAATAGTCAAGTTCCAAAAGATATGAATGCACTGAACTGAATCTCAATCAATTCAAATCATATTGTAGGAATCTCTACTCCAGATAGTGGTCACTATTTACATTAGATTTGCTTTTAATGAGAATACATTGATTTCAGAAGGACTTGAATCAGTGCTGTACATAGATAGAGAGTATAACTCACCCAAATGTTTGTGAATGATAGATTCTAATCACATAGGTTTGCCATATGCTACAACTCAAGATAAAAAGAGAGTAGAACTTAAGACTATATAGCAGGGAAAATACTTATACCTGGAGGAAGATTAAATTTAGTAAGCATGACGATGGAACTATAGAGGATCTCTCAGACATTTTAGAGTTCCAATTGCGATGAACCTTTAAATTAGCATATGCGTTATGTGCTTCTAGTTTGAGAACATATCAAAAGCTTACGTTTATAATATGATTTCAATAGTCAAAACCCAATCATTGTCTGAAAATATTGGGAAAGAAATACCCGTTCCTTTATACATACCCATGTTCACATGACTCAATGGCGGTTTTAACAAATGAAGTTGAACCAAACAAAATAACACTTTACCAAGTTAAATAATAATAATTTACCAAGTTATATTATGTTTTTGAAATAAAAAGATAAAAATAAATAAAAACTAGTAGTAGTTGCCGGAAAGAAAAAATAAATAAAAATATTTCTAACGCCATCAACAAAACACTGAACCTTAAATTCTAAACACTAAATTATAAATCCTTGGGTAAACCATAAACCCTTGTATAAATCTTAAACCCTAAATCATAAATAGTAAACTCTAAACCCTTCGATAAACTATAAATCATAGGATTTAGTATTTATTTAAAAAGTTTAGTGTTTAGGATTAATGGTATAGTCTTTTTAAGATTTAGTATTTTGTGTTTATGGTTTAGGATTTAAGATTTAGGGTTTAAAAATAACCCAAAGGTTTAGGGTTTATCCAAAATTTTATGGTCTAGTATTAAGATTTAGGATTTAGTGTTTTGCTAACGGCGTTAAAAATATATATATTTTTAATTATTTTTTTTAGCAATTACTACTATTTTTATATGTTTTATAATTTTATTTTAAGAACATAGTATAACTTGGAAATTTTTTATTATTATTTTTTTTAAGATATAAAATAATAAAATATTACTGGTGATGAACCTACAAAAATAGAACTCAGAGTTTTGGGTGTACTCTAATAAATTACCAAACTAAACAAAACCCTTCTAACATTCAACTTCAATTTTTCATTCTGGTTTAGTTTTCTCCTCCAATACCAAACATCAATGTTTCATCCAATGCAAAATTGCAAATTATGTGGAAAAAGAAAAATTAATAAAAAGAGGACACCAGATCCAAAGCATACACATTCTATAACTACAAAGACTGAAATATCATCATTCATCATTAGACCATCTCCAATCCATCTATATTTTTTAATCTTTATATAATTACAGAGAATTCTATTATAGATGTATATTTACTCCATTGTATGTCTCTATAATAGTGTTCCTCTATGTATAGGGAAAAATATAGAAATATACCATTTTCATGATCTCTAAATATAGAGGTAAAGAAGTAATTTTTTTTATATTTTCTTCTAAAATAAAAGAACTCTACTATAGAATCATACATTGGAGTAATTTTACCTCTATAATAGAGATCTTTATTTTTGAAAAAAAAATATAGAAGTGTACATTGAAGGTGCTCTAAAGACAAACTCTTATATGGATACTTCTATTGGTTACCTTTTAAAAAAAATAAGAGAAGTTTTATTGTAATGGTTTTCTATTATTTTTTTCCTCAAAAGAAATTATTTTAAATATATAGATACTTATTATTAAATTTTAATAATGTTTTTATCTTATTTTTAAAACTTACAAATTTTATCCAATTTTAATTTTATTTTAACTAAATCTTAATTATGTACATAAGTATAGTTTTTAGTAAAACAGTTCAAACTGGTAAAAACATGTATTCAATCGTTTTAAATATAAAACTATGTGAAGATTAATGATCAACTTTTAAATAAATAAATTTCAACATCAAAATGAAATTGTGAATAGTAGTCTCACAAATTTGATGTGCAATAATTTATATACTCTTTATTTCTATTAAAGTGATATAAAATACAAATCGTCTCCCTCTCTCTTCGTACTCATGTTAGCTCGCTTAAAAACTCATAAAAACCTTCACTTTCTCTCGCGTCGATATTCTAAAAAAAAAAACAGAGTCTTTCCAAGAAAGTTTATTTCTCTAATCTCCCATGGATTCTAAAGAACCCCACAAACAGCAGCAGCAGAATCTACAACCACCGCTTGGGACTCCATCGAGGGATTTATCATAGATATTGTTACTTTGATAAATGTGTTTTTGAGTGTGACAAAGTGTGATATTATTATATTTGTGGAAAATAAATGATACGTTTTATAAATCCAAGGAGTGTATGGTATATGAAAAGCTTGTTTTGTTTATATGTCCATGCTTTTACGTTCTTTTAATGTGGCTTTAACTATGTAAAAAAAAAGTGGCTATACGTTTTATAAAACCAAGGAGTGATATGGTATATAAAAAGCTTGTTTTGTTTATATGTCCATGCTTTTACGTTCTTTTTTTTTTGGTCGGATGCTTTTACGTTCTTTTAATGTGGCTTTAACTGATGTAAGAAAAATGTGGCTATAACTTAATTCTTTAGTTCTTGTTTTCATTTTTTATTACATAATTGGTTTGTTGACGACTAAGATATTGAATCTGGTACGTAAATAAGGTGGCAATGATTTTCTTCTCATATAATTATAATTGAAATAGATAATGGTGTTGGATGCTTTTGTACAAAGACAATTCAATTTAACATAATGGGATTTCTCATCCATCGAAAATCTTCCATTAGTCCAAATATAGTCACGTTTTAGATCAGTTAAAAAAATGCAATGAACAAGAAAAGATATAATTGGCTTGTTGACTAGGATACTGAAACCAAGCTCCAGCTCTTCGAAAGCTCAAGTAAGTCGTGTGTTTCAGTGACAGAGTTGATCCAGTTACTATCATCTTCTTACTAATTATTTGATTACTTGGTTGAAGAACCCGATGCAGCAAGAAGGAAGTTCTCAAACGCAAGTCCATTTCCTGTGCTGAGTTTTTTTTTGGTAATGAGAATAAACGAAGCTGATCGTGAATCAAAAACTACTACACTTGAGAAGGTAAGTAGATTTTCCAACATATTATCATATCAAACACTCTTTGAGAATATTCTCTACATATATGATCTCTTTTTTTATTTGAATATGTTGTTGATAGGCGAATTATTTGTGGTCGTTAGGGATGAAAGCGGAGAAAACGAAGGAAGTGATACAATCATGAATCACTACAATATGCATAATGCTATGACATTTCAGACCAACAAGCTTTTGTTACCCGCTTATATAGAAATACAGAAGCAAGAGATTGGTACATGTAAGAACAGGAAGCAAGAAAAGGTAGAGAATGAATAGGAATCAAGTGCAGTGCTTTACAACACGTTTGTTAGGGAGGCTAAGCAATACAGAGAGAACTGTAAGTGATTGGTACAAACACAACCTGAAGCATAAGAAAAGTACTACCTCCTCTTATTGTTGAAAGATTCTTGGCTTAGGTTGATATGGACAATTCTAAAGTAGATTATTCTTTCTGAAATTTACTGATTCACATTTGGTGGCATTTTATTTTTACTTTTATTCTTATCAGGTTTATATCAGTAATGACTAATGAATCTTGTAGTCATATGTACGAATACACAAACTTAAGAGTAATTTCATGAAAGCAGAAGCATAAAGAGATAAGTTTAACCAGATAATAGTAACTTCTTGTTATATCAACCACTTAAGCCTTTGTTTTCTTATCTGCTGCTATGGAACCAAACCATATGAGTGTATGTTTCCAGTCTATGTAATTCCCGCAGTAAGGCCAACGCATCCTGTTCAGCACTCTCTAGTATGAGTCCATATTGGGGATTGGGAAAACAAACAATGTTTGTGTATTCGTACATGAGATGTTCTATGAACTTTTGTGGAATGTTACTTACTCAAAAGTAACATTCCACAAATCTGTGACAAGTAGCAACAGGGGATGGAAGTAGTTCAGTAATTAGCTTCCGTTGCAAAAATCTTACAATACAAATCAGTTTCAGTTTCCTTTCTTTATTTAAGAATTATCCTTTGCTGTCCTTTTAGTGCTCCCACCTCAACACACATTAATCAACTTACTACTCAACTCACAAGATCCGCCAGTTATCTTTCCAAGTAGCTTCTCCTTCGTGTGAACCTTTCATCAATCTACCTTGCCTTAACCCGAGTTCTTTCCATTCCAAACGTAAATGGTCTCTCAGACTTAGTTCCACACTTATGTTTGTAACTTCACCATCGTCTCCTTCATCATTACCTTAGCTTTCTGGTAACAGATCCTTGCAAAAAGACTTCTTCCTGGAACACACAACACCACTGCAAAGAGAGCCTTTTACTTCACAAAAAAGCCAAGATTTCGCTCTTCCATGTGCTAAGAATCAGACTTTGTTTCATTTCATTCATTGTTACATAACAAGTACATTACAGTTCCACTTCAAAACTTGTGTCAGCATGTGTAAATATCGTCATGAATTCCCAACCTGAGTCAGTTTCATTTTCGCTTTAGCCATTTTCGCTTCACCATAACACCCTGACATCCGTAAACCTGACAAAACAGCTCGTCTCGCCGACGAAGGAATCTTGATTCCTTTACTGTAACACGACAAAAGTAGCTTCGAAGCACAAACAAACCTCGTTTCTTTACAGAGATTATGCACAACACAAGTATACGTATACTCATCTTTCACTTCCATCGACTCAAACAATCTCAACGCACGGTCCACATAACCCGCTTTACACAACCCATCAACCAAACAGTTACACGTCACAAGATTCAACCCAATCCCACCCATCTCTCCCATACTTACAAAATGCTTCTCTGCTCTTCTCGTCTGTCCCGTCCTCAACAACCCATTGACTATGATCGTGTGCGTATACTCATCAGCTTTCATTCCTCTCCTCTCTATCTCACCTAACAAATCATCCACAGCATCCAAATCCCCTTCTCTAAAATACAGATTCAACAAAGTATTATACGAAACAATGTCATGCCTCCTACCATTCCTAACCAGCTCTTGCATATACTCAAACGCCTCTTTCGTCCTCCCTGTCTTAACCAAAGCACTAACAACCGCGAAATAGGCGTAACCATCATAAGTATACCCTTCTCTTTTCATCTCTAGAAACAACTCAAGCCCTCTTCTAATCCTTCTAGTCTTGAAATACAGCTTTAGTATCGTCGTGTACGTAACCGCATTAGGAGTGTAACCCGATCTCTTAAGCTCTGATAACATCCATTTCGCAGTACCGACTCTCCTGGCCTTACAAAGCCCGTTGATAAGAATGTTATAAGTCATCAACCCTGGCTTAAACCTACTCTGCATCTCTTTAAACACCTCAATCGCATCGTCTACATAACCACACTTGCAAAGAGCATCAAGCAGCACATTATACGTATCAGGACCAGGACTCAGCCCCGCGAGGCGAAGATCCTTGTAAAGAACACGAAAGGCTTCTTCTTGTCTCCCTAACTTGAAGTAACAACACATCAAAGTATTGTAACTCCACAAATCAGGGTATATCCCCCACTCAAGCATTTCGTCGAACAGGTGGAGGACACGTTCCAACATCAGCCTTTTCGCCGCTCCAGCGATTAAAGAGTTATACGTGGCTACGTCGGGTCTAATCCCTGCGTCTCTCATACGACGAGTGATAGCGTAAGCTTCTTCGATTCCGACGAAATGACAGTACCCAGTGATCAATGTGTTGTAAGTGACGACATCGGGAGAGACGCCTAGTTTGATTCCGTCTGTGATCAAGGACTCGGCTTTCTCGAGTTTTCGGAATTTGCAGAGGGAATGGACGCATATGTTGAGTAATCTTGTGGATAGTCCCGTGAATTTGACCAGCCCAAGAACCATTCTCTACTCGGATTAAACATAGGAGAATGGTGGAAGAAGTGAAATTTGGAGATGGATTCGTGACATTGAAGGTTGGAGAGGTAAAGGGTAGCTCGGAGATGGAGAAAGTTTCGAAATTTTGAGATGTAGATCTCGGCGAAGAAGATGATAATCGGAAGAGAAGGAAAAATGTGAAATTTGGAAACTAAAACCCCTTCGCAGTATCTGAGATGGATTTTACAAGAACACTCTTCAGTGTTTAAGTTTTATTTAGATAACCCCGTGAATGATTTAATTGTCAAATAACTCCCTTGATTTTTTTTTTCTTTTTCCAACTACACATTTTGATTTTATTAAAAGTCAAATTTTGGCTATTCAGAAAAGTTTATATCTATTACTATGAACTCTATTAATTAATACTCAATAGATTAATAAATAGTAATATTTATAAAATTTTATAAATAATAAATTAAATAACTTTTCCTGTTTTAATTTAGCTCAATAGAATACATAACATGATTTGATAAAATTATAAATTAATAATCTTAAATATTTATAAACATATTAAACGATTCCTTTAAAATTATAAATTAATAATTTATAGAAAAACTTGTATCAAATTATCTGAACATAACCAAAACGATGTATTATTACTTTTTAAGAAATGAAGTTCATGTATATATTTATTTCATTTCATTTTTTCCTTATTTTATTAAACTAAAACCAAAGTGAATTTCTATTTTAGGAATTTATTTTCAATGTTTACATATATCATATAATCTAATAAAAAGAGGATATTCGTGATACAATAAAGACTTATTTGCTTAGCTATTTTTGAGTTGAAAAATAATTTTTGGAGTGTGTGTGTGTGTGATAGGTGTTGTTGCGGGAGAGAATGTGGAAGTTGTGGTTACTAAAACTAGAAAATGTGTGTGGAGTATTGTTTATTTTTTTTGTAAAATGTTAATATTATACCTTTTCTGTTTGTTACCACTGCTGATTGAACAATACCCCGAGAAACTATACGTCTGACCACAGACAAGGAATGCAGATCCAAAACACAAAACCAGGGGCCATCATTAGCAGACACCAATCCCGGAATCCACATACGACATGAGAGCAATCCAAGGCCAAGAAACCCAGAAACAGAGAACACAAAGGTGAAGAAGATACTTACATTGAACGACTTCAATGCAAGGAGAGGTGGCTGTTATCCGGAGGAGAAGACCCACCTCGACCGAACTCAAACTCACACCTTCGCCTAAAAAACAAAATCGGACTTACGCGGTACCGGAGCAGCAACGCTTCGATTGGCGTGGGCCTTACCACCGGAAGAACCCGCAAGAATACGCCAGTGCTGGAAAGTAAGGACCCACCGTGCACCAACTGCAACGCTACCACTTTGGGAGACAACTCCGTCAGTGAATCTTGCGACACGTTGAGCTTCGAGAACCGGAGAAACAAACCACTATATGCGAAACAACAACCACTCCTCCGAACCCCTTACCGCCAGTAAATCAGAGATGGAGGATGACATCCACTGGATCACGCGCCGTCGCCTGGAAGAGTACACCGCAGATCCGAAAACTGAAAACTAGACCTGGTGACCTACTTTAGTCCTAAAGAGCCGGCCTCCTCCAAACCCACTCCAAACGCAGCCTCGCCACTTTTTTAAGCAACCAAAAGGACCCATCGACTGTCAAAGATCTCCGGAGAGCAAAGGTGAAACCCAGAATTATGAGCATGTTGACTGGGTGAAGCAAATGAGAGAGGAGGGAAAAGGGAAACAAGAAAGGGGAGAAAAAATGGCCTCCGGAACCGGAACAGAGCCGGTCCAGAGGAGACTAACGGCGGCGACAAGAGGGTTTGAGAGAGATAGGTAGAGAGAGGTTCGAAAGAGAGGGTTAAAGAAAATATCATGCATTGACCGAGTCTTCACTGACATTTGTTTGGATCAAGAGCTTGGCTGCCCCCACATCTCATGGAGCAATCTTTGATAGGCTCATTATAAAACACAAATTGAAAATAATATAGTATAATTGAAAAACTGAGTTAAAGACAAAAGACCCGTAAAAAAGTTGAGCTATTGATGAGTTTTACCTAGTTGTACCGGATTACAATCCAAACAAAATCGAACCACCATCCAAATTTAACCCAGATCTTAAATAATGATTAAGCCAAAGGAAACCCAGACCATCCGACCGCTTCCCAATTTTTTTGAATAATAATAAAAGAATTAAAGGCTTTAAACCTTAATCTCCCCTTTCTGATTTCAGTTACAAACCCTAATTCAGGATTTCTTTCCCTATCCTCTCCTCTCTCTCGATTTTGGTTGATTTCCTTTGAATTCTCCCAATCCCCTTCGATTTTGTTTCTTTGTGTGTGAATCCAAATATGGTTGAAACAAGGATTATGAGGAAAGATACTCCGGCGACAGAAGAAGTAGAGAGGAAGGCAAAAGAAGTTAAAAGAAAGAGAAAAACAAATTAGACGAAAGAGACGACAGAGTTGCCAGAGAGGGTGAGTGATGAGGCGCGTGATGAGGCGTTAAATGTCTTAGGGAACGCTGCAGTGACAGTCAAGGAACAAAGGGGTTTAGTGAGTGTAGATGATGTTCCACCGAGAGAGAGTTCTCCAATTCCGGAGACTCGACCGTCGGAGGAGGAGGAGGAAGTATCAGAGATGGGTACCAGTGGTGCGGAAGGTGATGAAGATAATGAAGAAAATGATGGTGATGAAGAAAAGGAAGAAAATAATGGTGTTGAAGACGGCGATGTGGCGAGTGATGAAGATAAAGAAGAAAATGATGATGATGTAGGTGCTGGTGATAATAGCGAGGCTGATGAAGTTGAGACTAATGCTTCTGATGAAAACCGGGAGGCTAACGATGAACTGAACAAGGAGGAACTAGAAGATGGTGAACCATAAGAGAGTGGGGACGAGGAGGTAAGAATTTAGAAATTGATTAAGTTTTTTACTTTGTTAGAGTTGTTAATGTGATTTTGGTGAAAGAAAGATGGGTAGAACAAGGATATTATGAGTAAAACTAAAGGTATTACTAGACAACTTGGTGAAATAATGAGGAAATGGTAAAAGTAGTAATACACAGGTATAGTATGGAATACGTTAATAGCTTGAGAAAACTAATTGATATAACTGACATAGAGGTATTTTGGTTAATGTAATTTGCAGGAATTTGAGGCCACCGAGCCAATCAAACCAAGTAACATATTCTTCGATCTTTCGTAGTACAAGAAACAGATAAAACTAGGGATAAGGTGCATGTTAGTAGACGTGATTCAGACATTTAAGTCACTGAAACTGGAACCAAGTAATGCGGAGAGGAGTTGGTTTGAGAAGCATCCACAATTCTGTCTCTTGTTCCACATGAAACTCGATGCAAATGAAAATGAAATGCAAAAAGGAAGATCTTAAATCACAAGGTTCAGGGTATGTGGATTTTGTTACTGCATACTACCGATGTCGCGAAGAGGAGAGAAATGTGGTTTATTGTCAATGTGTTCCCATCCGTTATGGGCTGAGGGAACACGCCTTTCTATCAGGCGTAAACTCTAAGAACTATCCTCTGGACTATAAAGAGAGTAGTGGTAAAATGTTTGTGAGGCGTCATTTCAAAGAGAGAGAATCAATAAGGTTGGAGGATGTGAAAGTGAAGCTATTGGCAATTGGACCCCATAGAGATAGGCTAAAGATAGTGGTACTCTTCTTTTTAGGAAGTGTGATTTTTGCTTAAACAAAAGTTGGTGTCGAAGCCAATGATGTATTGGACTTTTTCCAATGAGCTGTGGATGATCTTAAATACTGTGAGTCCTTTCCATGGGAGAGATACTTGTTTGATTATATGATTAAGGAGATCTCTCACACAATGGATCATTCTGGAGGATTGGTGAAAGAGAAGACGCTATGGCCACTTCCCGGTTTTTGTATTCCATTAGAGGTTAGTAATAGAACATCATCAAATTATAAGATTATCATTATCATAAATATTTACCTGTAATCAAGTGTAAAATTGTTCGTTATGTAGAGTCTTGCTTTCGAGGCAATTCCTAAGAGCATCTCCAATGTATGCCTCTTTTTTTTTCTCTAAAATAGAATTCTTTATTATAGAGGTGAATTTATTCCAATGCATGTATGCCTTTATAATAGAGTTCCTCTATTTTAGAGGAAAATATAGAGGAATATTACTTTTGGCCTCTATATTTAGAGGTGAAAATAACATATCTCTTAATTTTCCTCTATAAATAGAGGAACTCTATTATAGAGGCATACATTGGAGCAAATTCACCTCTATAATAGAGATTCTTTATTTTAGAGGAAAATATAGAGATGAAAACAGAGGTGGGTTGGAGATGGTCTAAGTTGGGAAAGAGATTTAGGAAATCAGCTGAAAGAGTGAAGAAGAGTGTCTGAGGATGTGCAAGTCTACATAAAAAAAAAAACAGAAATGAAAGGGTTCCCTCGTGCAAGTGTTAATCAGGAACTAGATAGGGTTATGGTAAGAAAAACATGTAAAACTGGGAGTTGTTTGGTAAAACTGTTTGTGGAAAACTACGTAAAACTAGGATTATCTGATAAAACTGTTTGTGTAGAACTATGTAAAACTAAGATTATCTGATAAAACTGTTTTGGGGAAACTAACAGAGGAATCATTATATTTGTTGTTAGTTTGACGAAATTGACAGCATCCTGCCAACCAAAAACTCGGCCAATAGAGCTTTCTTGTTATGGACTAGTAACACTCAATAAACTAGTTTGAAATGTGATAGTTTCAGTTTTAACATGTTTCTATCACATTTCAAACTAGACTGAACAACAAATTTAAAAATTAAAGGAAACAACAGCATAATAGATTGAAGACATGGAAGATTAATCTGAAACAACAACATCCCAACAACTAAATGAAACAACAAAAACAACTTAATAGATTGAAGACATGAAAGATTCCAAGATTGATCCAAAACAGAGAAACGAGATTCCAAATCAACAACACCACACATGAAGTAGACATGAAACAACATTGGAAATCATCATGTTCTGGTACCAATACGCTGAACCTGGTCCTTGATGTCAACAATCTGTGCTACCATCCTATCGACACAGCTCATTAAGCGCTTAACCTCATCTTCCTTCGCGAAGACCCATGGATGACGGAAGTGAAATCCATCATTCTGAATGTATAACTCAATCAATTACACTCATATTCAAATTGAAACCCTAATTATATGAATTGATAGTAAAGTACCTTAAACTTGGCGCAAGTGACGTGCCTCCTTCCAGGTTGAGTATCAAATTCGCCCGAAAACTTCATAACCGGAGAAAGCTCGTCAACGATTCATGCTTCACAGAAACATCGGGTAGGAATTCCGTGATGTGCATCATTGAGGCACATACGCATGTCATTTTCTCTCTTCGCTGCCTTCATGTCAATGTACTCCTCCTTGGGATGCGTCATATTTCCTTTGTTAGAGAGAGGGAGATAAAGAGTGAATAAGAAAATGAAAAAGAGTGAGGATAAGAAAGATAATGATTCTTTGTGTTTCTATTGTGGGGATGGAGGGAGGGAGGGAGGAATAAAATTTTGATTAAAATTTTTTAAACTGTGTAGGCACGAAAAAAAATTCATTTCCCTCCATTCTTTGTTCTTAGTTTTACTAAAGATAGTAGTGTGACGAAATTTGTTCATAATTCTACTTTTCGTGTTTTCTAGTTTATTGAGTGTTACTAGTCCTTTTGATTTCTTATCCAAGTTTTACTTTCGAGATTAGTACTTCAAAATGTTAGGCAGCTTGTATTGTGTATTAATATTTCAGTTATAAGTTAATTGGAAATTTTATTTTATAACATGTTCTTCATTAACAAAGTAAAACATGAAGGTCAAGGTCTTCTAGTGGATATGTTTCGAGTTTTTACTAATTTTCAAAAAAAATTAAACTGGTGGATAAATGGTTTAATTATGAGTGACTTAATTATAAGTTACAGTCGAGGAATCAAATGTAAAACTATAAGAGACGGATTTTAATATAGATAACATTAATGTCAAACAAAAACATAAAGCAGTTTTACCAAGCAGATAACCAAGTTTTACCAAGCAGGTAACCAAGTTTTAAGCAGAAAACAAACACAACCCAATTCATACAACACAAAAGCAACACACATGATAGAGGTACATTCGAGCAGGGGGGCTAGCACCATTTCCAAGTAACAACCAATTGAAACCATAGTTTTTCCTTGGCCGCCTCTTGTTCTGTGTCCTTTTACGTCGTTCTCCACAAGATGGATGCCTTTTAACTCTTCTCCTTCACTTTCGGCTAATGCGATTCGAAGGTATAATGTTCAGATCTTTTATGTCATCTGGTACATTCCACGAAGACTTGTCGGACACAACATAAAGTGTCCTGGAATACGCCAAATCCCATAGTTCCGCCCAATAGTATTTTGAGTAGAGTTCGTGATACTGAATATGGACATCACGTCGCGTTCCAACGCTGTCATCACCGTGCTTACTGTAATATATGTAAGTAGACAGACTGTTCAGACAAGGAATCTTTTCATAATTCCACACCTTGCAAGTACAAGTTTTCGCAACCAAGTTCTCCAAAAACATCCTCCCATCACTGTCGGTGATCTCGTACTCAAGCTCATAACTATTAAGCTCCCACATAAGTAGCATTCTTGTAACATGCCATAGATCGTGCAAGTAGTTCTTAACCAGAGGCACCAGCTTCGTTTCATCTGCTCCAGAAACTGCATCCTTGCGATGTTGATTAAACCAATCAGAGAATGTCTTGATGATACAATCTAACATTGGTATTAAGGCCCACCTCCTTGCCTCTCTAAACACGTTGTTCATTGATTCCACACTGTTGCTTGTGTAAAAGTTGTACATGTCACGTAGAAAAAAAATTATTGCCCATTTGTCTTTTTCAGTATGCTCCTCCACATACTTCCAAGCCGAAGGAGATCTTCTCTTAAACGATTCGTAGGCAGAGTCAAAGTCAGCCATGGTGTAATATCTACCCAATTCCATGAATCTATGCTCGGCTACATCTTTGTTGACATTACAAACATGTCTTTTCACATTTTCCTTTAAATGCCATAAACAATGGCCATGGTGAGCATGTGGATACACGTTTACTACTGCAAAGATCAGGCTTTGATTCCTGTCAGTCATGAAAACCAGTTCAGAAGAGTCTGGTATAGCTCTCTTAAGCATCTAAAAAAATCAAGTCCAGTTGGCATGATTCTCTCCATCTAGTACTGCCAACGCTAGTGGATAAAGGTGACGATTTGGATCTTGAGCTTTGGAAAAAACTAGAACACCGCAAGCTCCCAAGGCTATGAAGAGGTATTTAAATTTACCTGCCTCGTTCAATTTCACATCGGTTGTTGTTCCTGGATTCACTTGGTTTAACATGTACAAATAGCTATACATCATCTTGTGATTGTCTTCCAGATTACTATGTTAATCACAAACCGCCAGATTCTTTCCGCGCAACACTGTCGAGTATGAGATCATTACCTCGAGTTTGAATTTAACAAGACCCTTAATAACCTTCGGACTTTGTGTGTTCCAACCCTCCTGGGAATTCCTCATTCAAATGGTTGACACTAGTTCTGCTGACCCTTTTCGCTTATCGTTGCTCTCACTTTGACTAGTCTGAGAACATTTATGTTTATTCTTGTCGATCCTAATCAAAAAATGTATGTCTGAGGAATCTTTGCACCTCGTAATCCCTATTTATAGCTAGCTTGCAAACATCCAATCACCAATCGTCTACGATCAGACTTTTGGTGAGATAATGATAGCATTTACTAAAAGCAGCTCTATCAACGATCTCCTGAATTACGCTCTAACTTGAAAATTCAAACCAAACCATCACCCCATTCCTCATTATACTTGGTCGATTTTATGGCTGGTGGCTGTTTAACATACTTATCAGCGGTTGGAACAGCGGTATTTTTCTCCACACCAATGTTAGTCTCCGCAGCCTTTTCAGTCTCCGCAGCGTTATCAGTCTCCATAGCGGTATCTGTCTCCATAGCAGTATCCGTCTCCGCAGCGGCATCAGTCTCCATAGTGGTATCCGTCTCTACAGTGGCATCATCATTATTGCTACCCTCTATCGCTTCGTTATTTCCATGCTTATCTTCTACGTACAAAGTTATGGCTTTAGCTCCAATTTCATCACCCAATTCCTGCAAATCTTCGTAGTTCTTAGCACCCAGACTTTTACCCACACAAGAGAGTTTATCTAGAGGTTCCGGTTCCAATATTGTTTCCATTGGTTCCAATATTTGTTCTGATCTTCCACTCTTCTCCACAACCAAAAGACTTCTTTGATTGTCTTTGTCCATGCATGTTAGGTAAACAAAAAGATCCTCATCATCAACAATATTTAAAGGTGTCTCACATCCTACCACCAGCGGCATGTAGCTCAATTTTAGATTTTCCTTACTTTCATCCAACCCAAGCTTCTTATACATCCCCTCTTTTATCATTGACACTGATGTCTTCAGAGTTATACTAAACATCTGGTCTTTGAATTTAAAATGAACACTGACATGATTTCTCATTGTATCCTGCCAAAAAAAAGAACAAACTCAAAAAACTCACTACAGTTATCTACACTTATATCAGTTGTTCCGAGTTATTTCAATTTAATTACAGTTCTACCACTTGTTCACAGTTTTCTCAAGTTATCCACTGTTCAATCCAAAACAAAATGAATAACGTATCGGGTCCGATCTAGGCTACTGGGGGACTCCCCCTGCCCAATACACTCCCCAATACACTCCCATTCAACCACTGAAGTGCATTTTCTACCACTTTACTATACTGATTGACCCAGACACAAAACAATGCCGTTTTGAATTACTCCTAAATCGAATCACAATTCAATTACGATGAAAGCCCGAGGCGGAGACCACAACTTACCATCTTCAACGGAATGCTAGACGTTGGGAAAGGAATTTGGTGACAGACGGCGTTGCTCCAGAATTTTTGGGAAAGCATGCAGGAGCTGGGAAACGAGCTGCGGGATGGAGCTTAGGGAGGATTCGGAGCTGTTGTTTTCTCGAGAGGAATTGGAAATCGATCGAAGATGAAAAATGGATTCTAATTAATTGTCCAATTAATTTTTAAATTTTTTTTTTATTTTGTTACAAAACCAGAACGGTTACAAAATTATTGATAACCACAAACCATACATTTTTGGTTAACATTCCAACGGTTTGGTACCCTTCAATTTTTCGATTTTTTTTTAACTAAGGGCAAATTCTTCAATTCACATTTGTTTAATGAATAAGGGGCATATGAGATTATGCAGACCCATAGGAAATTTGGCCATGACATGTAGGGGCAGACGAGCCAGTTTCTCCATTTGTTTGAAATTAAAGTACTTTTACCTTAGTAAAACAGAAACATCAGTTACAAGTAACCTACACCAAATTTATATACACATAATTACAACTTATGCCATTAAATTTAATAACTATTACTTACTTAACTATAAATCATTTACTTTATTTTTTTTGAACTGTATAAATCATTTATTTTGTTAAATGATCTAATCAAATTTACAATTATCTCTAACCAAACTTACCATTTAACTAGAATATTCTCTAATCAATTTTTCAATAAATTTCAACAAATCTATTTAAAATGTAGTTTACAAAATTCAGACATTATATATTTATGCATATTATTATTTGATTTCACATTGAAAGTATAAAATAGAAATATTTTCTTAAAAATAAATTTATTTTCAAATATATGTTAAATCATTTGATGATTAACATTAGTCACACATATATATCTGACTTATAAGAATATAGAATTATATTTTAATTTAATATTTTCTTCAAAAATTAACATAGAAAAGTTTTATTTGCCTTAAAACAAATTTAGAGACATATCTATATATTTTTATTAAAATAAATGTGAAATTTGACATAAAATAATTTGTTTTAGAAAGATAAATTTAGTAATATACATAAATATGCTAATTACTGTTTACTATAACAAATTGAAAATAGTCATATGGATGCATGTATGCATAACCATTACATTCTGGTGCTATTGAAAAATTTCATATATTAATTCTATTAATTATACATCTATGCGGATGCACAGATCAAACTATAGTTCTCATTACATATATAATTTTTTTTAGCTCATACATGTAGCAATAAATATCATAATTCTTAGTTACATAGCATATATATTGGCTGAAAACGTGGGATAAAGATCAAACCAATCATGTTTAGCATTTGGTTTTAACCAACACTAGATTTTGATCCGCACTTTAA